GTTATTTAATTACCCACACTACCTAGTCCTCAACTACAATAAGCGATGCGCCTTTTGAAGGACAAAAATCCTACTCAGAACTGTTACTTGCATTGTATCAACTTGAGAAAAAATTTGGATTACAAAATAAAAGGGTCATATCGTGCACATTATTGATTTCTAGATTCGCAAAATTTCATGAAACGTTAAACTAATAAACCTATACTTTCATCTAAATACGGGTTTTAATTATATTGACACTGGTATTTGCAACTGTTGTAACAACTAAGCAGTTTGTATTCAATCTTGTTTCCTTTGAAAGTGAATAAATTCTTTGTGAAAGTGCTCGCCGGTGTGAGATTTAATCTTGCAATGACCTTTACAAACATTTGTTGGATGCAACACCACGTGTATTGAAAATGTCGGCTCCATTAGCGCCAAACTAAATACGTAAAGCCCGTTACAAACGTAGCTATAATATATATTATAATCTATACTAATATTATAAAGAGGAAAGATTTGTATTTTTGTATGTTTGTAATGAATAAACTCAAAAACTACTGAACCGATTGCAATAATTTTTTCACCGTTCGAAAGCTGCATTATTCAGAAGTAACATAGGCTATATAATATCACGCTAGGTCCTATAGTTGTGGAGCAGTAACCAAAAATGTTTTAAAAACGGGGGAAAAGTATCGTTTCTGAGGCCTTCCGTGGCGTGCGCTGAGCATATAGTTAGTTATACAAAAATGTTCTATAGATGAATTGTTTATCTTAACATTATTTTTAAAAAAGTCCGCGAGAGCATATGTCTACCTTTTATAGTTTACCCATAACAATCGTTTTAATGAATGGTTCAATCCTTATAAAAGTTTGCTCTAGATAACTTTTGAATTGTTCAAGTCCCCCCGTGCGAAGCCGGGACGGGCCGCTAGTAGTATATATAGGTATAGTACTAGCTGTTACCCGCGACTTCGTCCGCGTAGTATTTGGCAGAATTCATCAGAATCGATTCAGTGCCTAAGTGAGATTTATTGTGAAATGAATTTGTCTTTGTTTTGTAACAATAAATAATTCCGCATAGATTTTACCAGTACAGCACCCGTATCCATTATATATAAGGTGTTAGTGATAAAAATTATTCTATCGACAATTGTTGTACCGAATCTCTCTAAAGTACAGTGGTTAAGAGATAGAATGGCTTTAACGCATAGGTCCCGTTCCCGTGGGACTTCTGTGATAACAAAAACTATCATATATACATCGTGTTCCAGGTCTCTAATTATTACGGAGCCGCGGAAAACTTAACGGGTTGCCGGAGCTCCGGGTCGAAGTGTAGGGGTAGCAACGGGGTGGTTTTTAGTCAGTTATAGTCTGACACTCCCTCTCGCCCTGACCTGGGCGGGAGAAGTCATTGGTTGATTTTCCCCCATAAAAAAATCAAGCATAAAAAACCCTACAGATAAACTATAATTAAATAATATAATGATTTTCAAAAGATTGATCTGAAATCTGTGCGAAAGAAAGTGCGACTGCCGAGCAAGGGGTCTCGGGTTCGATTCCCGAGTTGGGCGAAGTATTATTGTTTTATTTTTAATTCTTAATAGCAAGGACTCTGGAGTTCCGCCCGGTATATGGCAATAGGCTCACCCCTTATTACCTACATGGGTCTCATAACATAAATAGTGATAAGTGGGTGTTACATTGTACAGTGACATTAAGTGCAGTAATGTGCACCTCTGCCTACCCCTTCTCCCTCTCTACTCTACTCCCGGATATAAGGCATGGTGTTATGTTATGTTTTGAAATTTCAATGACATTTACCAAAATAGAAGTCATTTATAATGTATAATTTCGTACAATTCTCAGTGCACAATGACGGCCAATTTCAATGTAGGTATTCAAAGCTTTATGCAATATTGATTCCCGTTTGCAACTACCAACTACGCAGTTAGCTCATAGCTCATGTAGTTTCGTCGAACCGTTGAAGGTCGTCTGTTTGTTTTGATAGATTCAATTAAATAGCTGTAATGGTTCTTATTTTATTCCTGAACTGAACGAGAGTTTATTTTGCAGTAATTGTTAACAAAACCCCACTGAACGCCTATTCGTGCCTCGTTAATATTAATTTGCTTGTTCATACAATTGTACTTCTATGCACTAAAATCAGTAAAATAGTAAAGATGTCTAATGTTTTCTGGGTACACAATTATAGCAATATACTAGGTGGACCCAGAGATATGTGATTGACCGACCCAAACCGACCGAATCTATGACGATCTGATGACGGCCACTCTATTTAGATTCGTCTATGAGTGCTAGGCACAGGATTTAGTATTAAAACAATAATTTTTAACAACTAACAAACTAAACATTCATACTTTTCTTGAACAAGCTTTAACTTCTCTATAGAAGTATAGAGATACCTACAGTACTTCAGTTACATTTCGACATCACACCTAATTGACATCTACATATAATTCAAAACGCCGCGCAGCATCAACTCGAACTTGAACATATTTCAGGCGATAAAGTACCCATTCAATAAAATTTTACTCTTGCATACTATTTTTGTGTGAAAAATGACACTTCGAGCTGCAGATCGTTACAAATATTTCACAGTACGCGAAAAGCGGACTACTGCAGCGTTGTAAATGGAAATAAAATGTAACATTTAATCATCAAAAGTGCTATATCGAATACGATAAAAACTCTAAAATAAATCAACGTGTACAATTTGAACATGGCCGTATTGTTTGTAGAAACCTGGATATTTTAGTGTTTCACACGCGGTTACACAAAGTACACGCCTGTTCAATTTGATTAATTCACTGACAAAATTTAGCGTAGGTACCTCTAGTGACAACTGTGATCAGATGTGAAAGTGAGTGGGATGTCAGGACGTCGGCGCCTCCCTCAACGACGTACTTATAGTAGGTATCAACACAATGAAAACGCAGTCATTCATTGTTTTTATCTTTACAGTGAAACTACCTACAAACAAATTATGCTTTATACTTTATATCTATTAATTAAGCATGAAGCATCTTGCCCCCCTGCAGATGCAATCCTACCTTCTCCTTTACCGGCAGCATACCAGGATGGCCAGAGTAAAGCAAACACCGTCGACGACTTGGTCTTGACATCCCAAGAAGTAGACATACCAAGTCCTCAGCATGCATGCGCTGAATGTTTATTATATGTACCCTGAGAAGCATTTATTTGAGACACCAATAGTTGTTGTTACCGGAGTTTAAGGTCACGAGAGCTTGACCTCAGAGAACACGGTAGTTGGTAGGTTACTGGTCGAGTTTATCTCGAATGGAGTTTATATGTAGTATGTCCATAAGTTAGGTACAAAGAATGTTAGTAAAAATAAAGTACCTAAGCTTTATATTTTGCCTGTAAATCAAGACGACGCCATGCTTGCTATGCTTTTTTTGCCATGCTTTTAAATTAAATAATAATACTTAAAACTTTGGTAAACTTCGACGTAGCTTTCAGCTATGACATAACAATTTTCGTAATTTTTGATGCACTTTAGTTGAGAGCGTAGTCATTTACGAATCAATGCTCATATTGACAAACAAAAACACAACGACATTTTATCTTATCGACATACTGAGTAGGTTTCTGGTATATATCTAATTATTAATTTAATTTACTTATTTATTTCTTACAATTTAAATCCATTTGGTTAGTAAACAAACAACTTATAAAACTTAATTAAATTAAGCCTACATTGATGCCCCTACGCGATAATTAAAACCTTGCTCTGTCACTGACAAATAATAAATAAAAAAAAAACAAGAAGAATAAAAGTTAACAGAGAGAGTGAGAGAGAAAAAGTATTTAACTTTAATTACTGCCGTAGATGAAAACGACTGGAAAAACTTGCTCAACAACTCGACTACAGCTTGATTTAGTGTCTAGACTCGTTTACGTACAAAGTTTGGGCTTTGTGTGTAATTTAAACGAAGTGACAGGAGCACAACATGTTTACATGTGCGTCACTAATGCCCTTTTATAACGAACTGATGACTACAGAACTTAAATAATGTGTTGAATTTAATTTACTTATAATAATGTATCGTCTTCTCAGTCAGTCAGTAACGCATAAATATGTAATTGTGTACTCTGCACTTTAAGCTACTATAAGTATAAACTATGCTTTATTTTTATGGGATATTGGACTTGAACCAACGGATCACCAGCAAGCAATCGGCGCCGCTCATGAATATCCCTTGATATTATGGGTATTTTCATTATCGATTGATTATATTATTCTATTTCAGAAATATCATCATTATCATCAGCCCTTTATCTTCCACTCCTGCCTATGTCTCTTCAATGGCACGCCATATTTCAAAACCACAATTTCTGTGAAATTATTTTTTGCTTGTATTATCAGTAAAGTTAAATTATTACATACTTACTTAATTTTACAAATTTTCCTCATGAACACTTTTGATAATGTTAGTACTTTACACTACATAATATGTTGATACGATGGATTCACTTTATTTTTAGAATTGCAATATTGACACTATGTTTAGAAATCTAAATACATAAATGATCTACGTGCATCACTTAAGTTACCTTCCGAACGTCTTCATCAAAATGGATATTTATTTTTGACTGCGTTCTATATTCTTTAAAGAAATCTTGGTGTGAAACTACGTTTCAAAATGCTTCGAGTTTTCTTAATAATAATCACCCTCAGTGCGGTTACCGTGTATTCTAGCAAGCATAGTCAGTAGGTGACTCGTTTAGGCTCTGGGTAAGTAAGTCTAGCGAAGCAAGACAGGTACCTGTGCAGACTCGGACGTAGATACAGAGATACTTATTCTTTACTTCTATCTATCAATTTTTATATATAATAATCACATTTTGTCTTCGGTGTCAGTTTTTACCTATTTTATCAAAATCAAAAAATAAATGTAGATTTATAATGTATATACAATTATGACGCCATTATTTAATTGTTATTATATTGTTCTAATGTAATACATTTTTTTCAGATATTTGACGGAAAAGAGACAACTTCAATCTCAAATGGAGGCTGAGAGTCGCGAGGAAGTGGAACTGACAAAGGCCCTCGATGAGAAGGGCAGACTCATTATAGAAATGCGGACCTCTTTGCAACAAATTAATGAGTTACTCTCATGCGTCGGTAAGGGAACTTTGGACGTTAGTTTGCTTGTTAGAATATTATTACGAAACTGAACAAAACCTGTCTATCTAATTATGCGTAGGAGTTCTATGGATTTAATGTATGCGCGTGGTTAAATTTGTCCTGTTTATCATTCTAATATTATAAACGCCAAGGGTCGTTAGTTATTACGCATGTATGTTTATACATGACGCTCAACTGATTTTATAGCATTTTAGAATACATATACCTACATAAGTCTGTACTTATACTCTACTAAATCTTTAGCACGAATTCTCGTCCCTTCCCTTCCCTTGATAAAATTTAATTGTGGTTTTATTTTGCACTAGCTACTTCCGCGCGGTTTCACACGCTCTGCTCAGTTCCTATTGGTCGTAGCGTGATGTTTTATAGCCTATAGCCATCTTCGATAAATGCGCTATCCAACACAAAAAGAATTATTCAAATCAGACTTGTAGTTACGGAGATTAGTGCTTCTGCTTTATATAATAGTATAAGATAAGATTCAATATGAACACTTAAATTAGAATATAGAGTTACGTTTTGTAATGGGGATGATGACAGGGTATGAAAATTAAAAATATAATTAGTCCGTAAGTTAGGTAATGAAAAAATATTAGACACGTATTTTTTTATTTTGTCGTATAATAAAACAATACTTAGATAAAACGAATCAAAGTTTAGGAGTGGGGGCTAAAACGTCATTTCTTAGTATAAAATGTACTGAGAAGTGACGTCACGCGACATTTCAAATCAATATATCTTCGAAACTATTCGTTTCTGTGAGAAAAGAAAAAATACGTGTCTAATGTTTTTAAATAATCTACCAGACGGACATTAAAATAAAAATTAGTCGTCTACCCTATTGCGGGAATTTAATTCAGTCAATTGTCTTCAATTCTTCATGTCAACGAAAACAAAGTGAATTAAATATTAAGTAATTAGATATACAAATATATCTACCTTTTATCAGCGACTAGGCCCTCGTCCCCGGGATAAATTTATTACCCCATCTGCTCCAAATCTCCACATCTCCATCTTTGTACCAAACATCCATCCATTCATACATTCTTAAGAACTTTCGCATTTATATAATAATATAATGTTAGTAGGATTTTCAAGACATTAACTTAATTCGAACAAAAAAAATCGTGACCAAAGATTAACATGTCGAGCACAGTAGTATAAAGGTAGGCAAGTCTCGTAGTAAAAAAGCGAAAGTAATAATAAAATTAATCTGCAAAGTTAAATAGAAGAGGTGAACATGTTGAGATGTCTATCTGTGTGACATTGAACTTGAAAGTACCGACAAGTTCAATGTCGGTTTCGGATCGAGGTCGGCGTCACTGGGTCATGCCCGGAGCTCGTCCCAGATGAAATACCTACCTATTTCCGAACCGTTCTAATAAACAATTTCGTTCACAGCACATATTAATATTATATGTATCTCAGTGTCTGTGCTTCCTGCCTTGCGTCAGTATTTTAATTTAGTGTAGCATTTCAAACTAGTCTTTGAGTCACAGGACATAGTGTAACGTTTTAAATGAGTATTGGAATTTGATTCACAAGGTCTTATACTAAGAATGAAAATCATTTATTGCTAAAACATTTGATATTAGGTAATAGAATGTAATGGAGAAAGTGAATCTAATGAACATAGGAATTAATATGCTTTGTCTCGATTCGACTCAGAACTCTCGAACTCCAGCTTGTTCAATGTTTCGAGGAAACTATAGGTCTATTTTACAGAAAAGGAAACATTAAAATATTTACATATTTGTATTAATTATAACTCTAGTCCTTACTATATAATATTATAAATGGGAAAGTGAGTTTGTTTGTTTGTTTGTTTGTTCCACTATCACGCCGTAACTACTAAACCGATTGCTTTGAATTTTTGCAGACGTAAAGTTAAAAGTCCGGGTTAAATAATAGGGTAGGTACTTTTTAACCTTTTTAAATTTGATATTTATGAGGCAAAACAAAAGTTTTGGTATAGATGGCGCTGTGTGTATTGGTATATGTCACATAGGCTACTTTTTATCCTTTTGTGAGGCGAGCGAAGCCGCGGGTAAAAGCTAGTAAGATATAATTATAATTTAATTAAGTAAGGTTAAAAGCGTAATCATGAAACTTCGCTGTGTCGTGTGACGCGTAATGCTGCTTTATGTTTATGACTATGCGCCCAACGCGTAAGTTAAACTAGTCGAGATACCTCATCAAACAGTTGCATCACGTGATACATAAGTTTGGTATCTTCTACTAATTTGGGATCTTAATTATTTTTATTGGTAGGTGCGGTAACTGAGCCCAGGTCGTTCACACACATCCCGACGGCAGTCCAGTACGCCCTGGAAGATATTTTACAGACCGTCCCGCGCCCTGATTCAGACTGTAAGTTCCGTCTTTATTTTATTTCCTATACGTATAGTGTACTTAATAGCTAAAACTAACTCAATAATAATTGTGAAGTTATAAAAAACTCTTCAGTCATAACAAGAAAAATATCAATAATCAAAAGTTAAATAAACATAAGGATGTCATTCTTTCATTGTTTTTAACTAAAGTATATAAAAACGGAGGTATCTGAACAACAACATTTTTAATATGAGTTCATGTACTGTACGGGGTTAATTTAATTATAAGATAAGCTGTTCCTGCAAAGAGTTGAAATTAAGTGCTCCATTTTGTTTAAAGCGCGCTCTTATCGGGCTCTGCGGCTCGTGTTCTAGTAAAGTTACCGGCGACGGCCGCATCTAATTACCCGCTCGCAATTACTCATAATGAGACCGATATCCACCTTTATATTTTGAGGACCTGAACTGTCCACAAATATTTGCCGAATACGGGTACAGTCTGTAGTAGCTTTATTTTTAGTCGTAACATAAATTAAATCAACCGGGGCACGTCGCAGGTGGGGTACGGTGGCTTAAAGGGCTACGGGGTAAGCACGATTTGCTTGAATTAAGTTTATATTGCTCTCTTGTTATTGGCAATTAAGCAATGAAGCATTGTGCTTCGCTATATTGTACTGTAACATTTAATAACTTTATGTACAGAGATCGTATTTGTCGACAGTTGACAAGCTGATAGCAACCGCTAAACAGAAGTTGAACGTGCTGATCCAGGCTGTGTCCAAGATGGAAGTCACACCAGAATTGAAAGCTAATGCGAATCAGTTCTACCATCAAATACTAGCAAGAGCTATGAGGGAGAGCTATGAAGACGATGTCGTTCTCGAAGGAGGTTTGTTTGTATACCAGTCTTTAATTATCACTACACAGCATTGTGCTATTGATTTTTATTATATTATGTATTTCTTGGTGTCAACAGTACTTTACCACTCTCTAATGTGACTCCTAATGATCATTAATCTCCACTAAAATAAAATCAAAGATTTCTGTATATCTATCACACATAGTTCATAGGAAGCAAGCCCAGTAAACAACTGTTATTTTCCGAATCGATAATAATGGCTGAAAGAGAAAATCCAAGGAATGAAGCAATTCTAAGGTAATTAGTTTCAAGTACTGGCAATCAGCTTTAACTGGTCATTGCAATCAAGTATCTGGGAAACAAATGCATGCCGTCCACATGGTGATGCTTCACACGGCCTTATTCCCACCACAACTCATATTCCATTCGTCATAAGCACAGGTAATAATACGGACATCTAATGAAGTGTTCTAGAACTTTTGCAATCATCCATACAAAGAATAACAAATAATACAGTTAGTCAAGGTTATCTTTTACAATGCAAAACAAATTATGCATCCATTATTCCCTTTGTTTGCTCTCGACAGTTATAGAAATCTGCATTTCATTAGATTTCACTCAATAGATTGAAGCTTTATGAATACCATCGCGGCAGACTTTATTGAACGATTGTGTAAGTACTTGGAAATAATAAGCCATTTTGCAAATTTAATCATGTGATTTAATAGTCGCATTTATTAAACACAAGTGGGTGTTATTAGATTTTGCCTTAATTATTGTAACAACTACATAATAATATGTAGGTCTGTACCTACTAGATAAATATGATGCGCGTGCTACGAAAACGCTACGAATCTCTTGACTTCGTGCTACGCTATAGTGTGTGTGTGTGTGTGTACTGTGGGATGCGTGGAGTGCAAGCCATGTGCTAGTGAACTAATAAGTATATTATGCTTTTGTTCCTGAGATTGAAAGAAAAATGTTTGATATTCTTGTAAGATGTAGCTATAGGTAATAAAATAATAATTCTTATATGAAGTACGTTTAAACCGACTTTCAACCCCCTTTTTTTGAAGTCAGTTCATTAAGACACTAAAACCTTCTCCTAATATAACAAAACCTTTTCTGTAAACCCCATTAAAATTGATTCAACCAATCGTGAGGTAATCGTACACAAACATTTCTAACATACATAAAGGTCAAACTGTGAAAAGAAATTCAGTCTATTGCTAACATTACCGGTACTACTACGGTTCGATTTCAGCAGTAAAGTAAATTCATACGTGAGCAATTGAGCATATTGTAAGTTATTCTGTTTTAATTTCCTTAATAGTAATTTTGGAGGCTGAGTCACCTTCGTCCGTAGGAGAGCACCCCAAAATCAATATCCCTACACGTGGCCTCTGGGTGGTGCTAACCAGGTGACACTTTGGTGGTAGGCTTCGGCCGCCGGCTTTATGACCACCCATCGAGCAAAAGCGTGTCGCCAAGCGGCCCAGCCGTGTTCCGCCACGATGCTCGGTGACGCCGTATGAGAGGATGGGTCGAGATGGTTGTTCCACTGTAGGATAGCCGGTCTGGCGCGCGCTGGTGTAGCTACACCGGGTGTCCAGTCGCGGAGGGTAGCGGGATCCGAGGCACGGTGCACCGCTGGCCGACCGCAGATAGTTGGGGGCCCAACTAGCGTGCTAGCCACACGTGAAAGGCTGCCCCGCCATCTAGCGAAAAATCCCATGGATACGCCATCGTGCCGGTTGGCGACCGGAGGAGAGGGCCCGATGGATATTCGTGGGGGGGCTCGGGCGTCCCCGCAGTCTCCAGACTGGCCTCCCAATGGTGTGGTTAACTACGGTGCGCGTCGTGGGGTCGCCTGCGTGGGGGACCATTTCACTGCCATCCTCTCAGCAACCTTCCACTCTACATTATGACACTGAGAAATAAGAAAAGGGTTCAACAGCGGCTGCACTCCCTCTCCTACATAGTGCACCTCTCAAATATTCGAGGTTTGCACTCTAATGTCAATGCGGTCCATCACCACCTCGAGACCGAGAACCCTACACTCTTGTTTCTCTCGGAGACCCAGATCAGGTGCCCGTCGGACGTATCCTACCTGAACTACCCTGGTTTTTCCCTGGAGCACAATTTTGTTCCGCATGCAGGTGTATGCGTATACGTCCGAGACGGCATCTGTTACCGGCGTCTCCGAAACCTTGAAGACCCAAGCTTTTCTGCTCTCTGGATACTGGTGGACATAGGCATGGAGAAAATTCTTTATGCCTGTGTCTATCGGTCGCACAGCGGAGATTTGGAGGCGACCAGATTAGCGCAATACCTCGGCGAAGCGGCGGATGCGGCTCGTCAGGCGTACCCTTCGGCCCAGTTGGTGTTACTGGGGGACTTTAACGCTCATCATCAGGAGTGGTTATTCCCATACCAGTGCACCGACCATGCTGGAAGGGAAATGCGTAAGCTTGCGCTTTCGCTTGGCCTGACCCAGCTGGTCCAGGAAGCCACAAGGGTGCCCGATGTCGATACGCACACTGCCAATTGCTTAGACCTTCTGCTGACAACTGATCCAGACCGCTACTCGGTGACAGTCTCATCACCTCTAGGTAGCTCTGACCACTGTCTGGTGAAATCTGTATCGACACACTCCCCACCAGATCCGAGTCCCAGAGGACCTCGGCGGATGTGGCGATACAAGTCAGCGGACTGGGATGGGATGCGATCTTTTTTCGCTTCCTATCCTTGGCGGCCTGTCTGCTTCTCTTCTGATGACCCGTCAGCTTGTGCGGAAGCCGTAACGGGGGTGCTGCGCCAGGGCATGGAATACTACATTCCATTCTCGGACGTGGCATCCTCTGGTGGGACCCGTCCTTGGTTCGATGCCGACTGCGGACGTGCCGAAGCGCAAAAGCAGGCGGCATACTTGGCATGGGCGGGTGCCAGGCGCCGTAGGGCTGATGACATTCATCAAAAGAAGAGAGCCTTTAATCGGGCTGCCAAGTCATGCAAAAAGGCATTACGGATGGCTCGATTTAACCACATTGGCCGTATAGGGAACAAACTAGCTTCCTACCCAGCGGGAAGTAAAGCTTTTTGGTCCCTGGCCAAGGCGGTTGAATCGAACTTCTGTCGCTCCTCACTTCCTCCGCTCCTGAGGTCTGACGGGACGCTGGCTCACACTGCGGTAGAGAAAGCAAATCTATTTGCTTCTCTATTTGCGGAGTCTTCGCGTCTTGACACTGGTGGCGCCTTGCCTCCTTCTGTTAATAGCGTATGCAAGACGAATATGTCGCAAATTCGCATTCGACAGAGGGAGGTATATAGGACGCTACGCGATCTGGACGTGAACAAGGCCAGTGGTCCCGACGGAATCCCAGCCCTGGTTTTAAAAACCTGTGCGCCTGAGTTGTCTCCAATCTTGACACGTCTGTTTCGCCTTTCCTTGGAGACGGGTCTAGTACCGGTTGCTTGGAAGCTGGCCAACGTACAGCCTGTGCCTAAAAAAGGTAGTCGTGCCGACCCTAACAATTACCGCCCTATTTCGGTCACGTCCATACTCTGCAAGAGCATGGAACGTGTTCTTAACAATAGACTCCTGGCATACCTTGAAGGTAACGATCTCCTCAGCGATCGGCAATACGGGTTTCGACGTAACCGATCGACTGGGGACCTTCTTGCGTATGCCACTCACATATGGAGCGAGGCCATAGAGGGGCACGGAGAGGCACTAGCAGTCTCCCTCGATATTTCGAAGGCCTTTGACAGGGTATGGCACGACAGTCTAATCGGCAAGCTTCCTGCATATGGACTTCCTACTGGTCTGTGCAAATGGATAGCAGACTTTCTGAGGGATCGGTCAATACGAGTAGTCATCGATGGCTGCTCGTCTGACCAATTCGGTATTAATGCCGCGTCCCCAGGGTCAGTACTTTCAGCGACGCTCTTTTTTGCTGCACATAAACGACCTGCTTAAGCCCGTATCTTTGGGTATGCAGATGACAGCACAGTTGTTGAAAGGTATGTGTCCGGTGCGCGGACTAGCGGAACACAGATCCAGTCTTTAAGAGAATACATGGTCGAACGTTTGAACTCGACCTTGAAGGCGGTGTCCGACTGGGGTGACGCCAACTTGGTTAATAAAAAAATAAAAATAAAATCTTTATTCAGAAATGAAAATGGACACAGATACAAAAATATTTCTTGGGTAAATAAAATAGATCTCACATGGTTGGGTGCCTGTACTAGGATAATCCTGTGTCACAGGCGAGAGTAGGTCTAACATAGTTATAATTTTATTTCTACATACGCTCTTACATGCTAATTATTAATTAATACTTGACAAATAATATAAAGACTATATAATATACATAAACACATACCTCGCGCCTTATACTCCCGGAAGAGATAGGCAGAGGTGAAACAACTTAAGAGTAACATGACAATACACAAATAATTAAAATTAGGTACGATTTAACTTAGACAAAAGGCATATTATTTATCACTATAGTCGAAAAATTACTTGCATCGGTAGATATATAAACTAGGTCAAAGTCCACGATCATACACTTGCTGTACAAATTACAATAAAGTGCTTAGACAGCAACTAGCCGATGAGTATGTCAACCTGTTTACATTACGCAATTGGTTAGGTTCAATGCTAGCAAGACCCAGGCGTGTCTATTCTCCGCCAAACGGAGTCAATTTCCGCTGACTCCTACTTTCCGGAATGTATCCGTACCGATAGCCGATCGTCTTGAGCTTCTTGGTGTAACTCTGACGCCCACGCTCAACTTTGGCTCCTATATAGAGTCAAAAGCGCAACTGGCTGGTAGGAAGTTGGGTGTCCTTTGGAGGGTGAGACGGTACTTCACGCCGAAACAATTGCTGAGCCTGTACCAAGCACAGGTTCGGTCCTGTATGGAGTACTGCTCTCATCTTTGGGACGGCTCGGCTAAATATCAGCTGGACGCGTTAGAGCACATTGAGAGGCGTGCCAGGAGGCTCATCGACGATGATGCGCTTGTGAAGGCTCGGCTTCAAAGCCTCGAACACAGGCGTAAGGTTGCAAGCCTTTCGGTTTTCTACCGGATACATTTCGGGGAGTGTGCGGGGGAATTGCACAACTTGATTCCCCCTAGTCCTTTCCATCATCGTACCACAAGACAATCCGCGAAGCGTCACCGATTCATGGTAGATGTTCCGCCCACACGCACGAAGCGCTTTGCTTCAAGCTTCCTTGTGCGTACTGCTAAAGAGTGGAATTCTTTGCCAGAGTCTGTATTTCCTGAAGGGTATAACCTGGGAGTCTTCAAGGCCCGAGTGAATAGGTTGCTTATGGGACGACGTGCTCCAACGTAGACCGCATCATCGCTTACCAACAGGTGAGATAGTGGTCAAACGTCGCCCCATCAATAATAAAAAAAAAAAAAAAAATTAATTACACGGCGCGCGGTGGAGGTGTACAAGTTCACCGCTCTAAAGCAACGTAACTTAGCGAGCGGGGAACAAAGCCTGGACTAATGAGAGTGGTGCATCATTCAGATAACATTTCAATGTACACATTCCAATTACTTTAACACAGAATTGCTTTACAAATCTAACTTTGTTCGTACCTAACGCTAACGTTAACTTTGTTCGACCCTACCTATTGAAAATGTATAAATGTTCGTGTTCCCAAACATTATCGAACATGTCGTAGAATGTATATTATTAAAGTGTCATCATCATCGTCATAAGACAGTAGATGTCGTGTGCTAAACAAGTCGTGTCTGCCGCGCTGAGTGACAATCTACCACGCTGCCGTTAGCGACTATCTGTAATTTTGACGATGTCGCGTTAGTCTGTGGCGTGGCTGTCAGTCGAACATTTTCATATAATTATGTCACCGCAAGTTCGGCATTTCTTAATTACACGTTTTGCTATAATATCTAGTAAAATTATACTATAATTGAACTGTGTTATTGTATCCTAAGCTAATAATATTCTTAGCAAATCTTTTACGTAGATACCTGTGAACATTACCAGCCTGTAGTCGAAGTGAGCCGGTTGAATCGACGGCTGCCTAATGAGCTTCCTATTCACGTCAATTTTGATTCACGATTCTTTTTATTGTGAACTTTTAGGGCATTTTTCAAACTAATTTGATTTTAGATTGTAACGTGTATTTTGATTTAACGAGAAGTACCAGCATGAATCTTAAAAATCAAACAAGTCTCGCTAATCAGGATGACGAGGATTTTGATATTAATACATGTTTTATTTTTTTAGTTTGCTGTGCGGATAGATCATTTGTAAAAATGGACATACAATTATTAGATAAAAATTTCTTTTTTCCCTCCTCGGTTTGTAAGACGGACCCTCCTCGTAATTTCTTGCAGTCGTTGAGTTGTTCTATCTGTCGTAACCATATTTCATTGATTTTTAATAATGAAATTTAAATAACTAATTTTACAAAAATACAAATAGTAGGTATATATATTCAAGACAGGCCATACATAAATACCGACAACCCACATTATGTATAAAAATCGGTTCAATGTAAAAGAAAATTTGATGGAAACTCTAAACAATGCCATAATGATTGAATAGAAACTTGAAACCCCATTATCCAAGAAGGCGTCGACAAGAAAGACGGCAGCTAGATGTACTGCTATCTGGAAAAATAAGTAAAGTCGCAGTATTTTATCTTGAACAAAGCCTTTTCATTGGTCTGTAATGACGCAGGCCTGCTTTGTTAACCCCTCGATGATGCACACGTTGCGTCCCCTCGTCTCCAGCAAATTGAATGCGATATCAAGTTACTACTAAGTAAATCTCTTAAGATCATAGTCTTCTAAAGGCGACGGGCGACGTGCTTATTAACTGTCATTTCATTTTTAAAGACTAAAAGCATTACTTGTTGGTTTACAGGCGGGTATTGTAGTTCTAAGACGTGTATTGTTTGAATCTTCTATGATGACTAGGTGACGTCATTCAATGCTGTTCCTTTATGAGGACGGTATGCTGTTTATCTAGTTAGCAATTTTATGTGCTGCTCAAGTTGACTTTTTTAATACTTTCATGGTAGATATTGTACAGCTGCCTTTATTTATAATTAATAGGCCGGTATTCGATGAAATATCTCATTATCATCTAAAGTTTCAACATTAATTACTCGTTAGATTTTTCTATTTGAATGTTCAGTTAACGTGTGTAAAGTTCAGACACTATCTAAGGAGTTGAAAAGAGCTGAGGCCTTAGTAAAGTATTCGAAACGAGTATGCGTTCGGCACTCTGATTGGCCGGCACCAATGAAGCAACCAATCACAGCGCCGAACGCGTACTCGTTACAATTACTAAAAAGTAAAAAAAAATCGTACTAAGGCCTCTGGTGTCGTTTAAAGACGCCATTCGTTAACTATTCGCCTTCAAAAATGATCATCTTATTTCCTAGTTCAAGTTTATATGTAACTAATTACAACTTGGAGCGAAGTAATAACTTTGTCTTGGACTAACCGATATCTTTACTATGATTTCTTTATATTATTAAGTTGATCTAGAAAATATCAATTTGATTGTAATATTCATAATGGTACTTGTGATTTGTTATTCATAAAAATAATAAACCTGCTTGATAAGCTACAATTTTATATGGAATAGACCGGCAAACGAACAGACTGATTATCTGATGGTAAGTAGTCTCGCCGCCAATAGACATTCGCAAAATGTGTGTTGCTAGCCTACTTGGAGGAATTGATCCACCGGTAACCTCACTTTCACGACAATATATAACGCAGGCGTTGTATCACGCCTGTTTTCTGGGAGCCTGTGGTTTCCAGTTGAACCGAAGCGACCATTTCATATCGAACCAAGGCTCGTGGACGTGCAAACGCACACACGCATGTCTTTTTTCTTTTAAAGTAAACAAAATTATATATTTTTATAGCATAAGCCGGTAAACTAGCAGACCTGATGGTAAGCAATCGGCGTCGCCCATTGACAGCTGGAATACCAGAGGCGTTACAATTGTTGGGGATTCAGGAATTGGGGAAAGGGGGGGGGGGGGGTAATTTGGCCTCCGGTAACCTCACCCACACGACGAAACACAATATAACGTTGTTTCACGTCGGTTTTCTGTGAGCCCGTGGTATCACTCCGGTCGAGCCGGCCCATTCATGTAGAAACATGGCTCTCCCACACTTATAAAGATATATGAACACTTACAGCTCATACATATTTTCACAAATTTTTATTCTAGAGATTAATTTGTAATTTGAAATTGTTAATTAATATGAAGCAGTGGCTAAATCTTTTCTGAATTATGTGTGATGTATAATTTTTTTGCTCGTCACGATACATTAATCTTGTTAATTTGGTAAATTTGCTGCATCACGAAGCCTGTCATGTGCCAATATAAGACAGGGCACGCGGCCGCGGCCCGTGCTCTTCCTCGGCCACTTACCGCTAATGTTCTCAATTTATCCGTCCGACATTTTCACACCGCTTTATTACAATCCATCTCGAACATGACTCTTAAATGTTTGACAAATTGAATGGTTTTATGGAGCTCCTATTAAACTATTATGTTTTATGAAAATTTCGTTGGCTTTTCTTGAACAGCGAAAACACATTTTAACTCAAAAAAGAATTTGTTTTCTAGCAAACAAAATTTATAAGTTAGAATAATATTAAATAAATTATATTACACACGTTGTATGTATAAGTCTTACATCACAGTCAGTATGGTATCGATGACCAACAATTTTGGTCATTGCTCCGTAGCATCTAACACGCTCTTGTCCCCAGCGGACCTGACACATGTATGTACTTAGCGTTACCCATTCTTTTGCTGCAAACACGTAGTCCTTTATGTTCCAAAACCTATGCATATATATATGATATACCTATATGTATGCATGAATATTGTTTGTACAAATCGAGTTTATATTCTATTGTAATCGAGGTTGCTCAGCTTTGATTCCGTTTACACGATGTGGTGCAGCGCCGCACCGGAAATTTTCTTGATACTGCACTGCGCCGTATGCCTGGAAACGAGGCCAAGCGAAGCAATACCACTGCCTCCTTAATAATATATTTGGTGCTACTATTGTTCTCATGATGGTTTTATTAACAGGTCTAATTGAGTTTGAAATGGAAGATCCGAATGTACCGAGCCGAGCCATCATCAAGCTGCGCAGCAAGCAGCTTGTAGATGCACAAGTCAGCGAGTTCGATGTACCAGATACAACTAAGAAGTGATCACAAATCGTACAATCTATTTACAGAACAAATTATACTTGTAAAACAGATCAAAATTGTTAGTAAATAAATTAATCACTGAAAAATTGCGTTTCAATAAAACAAAGATGTTTTTCTTTCGGTAAATTAATTGAACAAACAGTAGGTTCGCAATAAAATGGAATAGATTCGGTACATAGCCTTGGGAGTTCATTTCAATCACATTTTTTCAAGGAGTTGTGTTTTCATTTAACAATAATCACTGAAAAATAATTTTGATGATATATTTATGTTTATCTTGTGTACGATCGCAATATAACGATACACTGCAATTTCAAGCAAAACAATGCTTTTTATTTCGCATTATATCCCCAAGTTTAGTTTGTCCCACCCCTTTCTCCTCAATATATTATTAGATCGACTACGACAATAGTACGTACATGACATCACACCTCAACAACCACCGGCCATTGCTCACACAGGTAAGGTTGCGAACCCACGCCCTCATGCATGAGAAGCGAGTGTCTTAAACCTTCGACCCACCACGACTTCCATGGTAGGTACATAGCTAGATATAAAAATTAATCCTTAGGTACTAAAACATTTTTGAAATCGGAGAGTATATTCTGATCTTTAATCTAGACGGGAAGTCGCTTTGACTGATCCGATGGGCAAAATAGATAAACTCTGTGCATAAATACTGCATATATTTGTAACATTGTTGCAAACAAAAACTAACAGTACTTGTACACGTGAAAGGAACGACAAGGGACTGAACCTACTTATTTGCATTATTCTAGTTTGTCAATTTTAATGTAGTCACACGTGCCGTACTCTTGGGGAACTCAATATAGCTAATCATATTATTTTGCATACATTGTACAAAGCGGTGCAAAAGTATTTTTATAATAATTACATTTTCATGTTTATGAGGCTATGTTGTATCCTCTGCCACATCTTAATATTATGTACTACCTTTTTATAAAAAGGTTTCACATTAACATCCTCAAAGTGGCTACTGCTGACCAAATAATCTCTAATATGTTTTTATAGAGGTAAGAAAGCTAACTATATCTTTTTTTTAATCGTCCCATTAATATTATTTTTTACCGTAAACTAAGTCTTTTCCAAGAATTCTCTTGCTTATTTGGAGTCATCAACCTTGAGAATCATTTTTTTTCTTATTATTGAATTAATAGCTCAAACAAGAAAATTCTTTTCTGTGTTAGTAGTAAACAGTCTTTGTAAACGCTACAGTAAAAATATTTTAATTATTCATTGCAACTATGTTGCTGTGACCTTCTAGTTGCACCTAGTTCTAAATCGAGAGGTTTGTGTCAGATGCCTGGACCCAGATAAACAGTACTTAGCACGTGTCTTCTCAAACTTGTGATGTTGTCTCTTTGCAAACTGATCTTAGTCTAGATACATTTAAATGTTACAAGTACCTACTAAAAACCTATTTATTGACGATTTTCAGTGTCTGTGATCATTGGAGAAATGAGAATGGTTGGGTTCACTAATTTCTAGAAGAAGTCTAAAATCCTCACTTTTCATTTATAATTTTCATTACCAGTTTAGTCAAACCTAAGTCTAATGTTCCTCTTTCATAGTACAGTGCACAATATTTATATAAATTGTGTCATAGAACAAAACTACGCCAGAATTCGGGTTTCGCAACGTCGACGTTTCAATCGTAAGTAAAATTTTTTAAATTTCTTGTGTCCTAATACTTTGATTTATTTAAAACTAATGAATATATGTGTCGGTTCATCGAATTATCTTGCTTATGCTCTGGAAACACAGACATAACTAAATAGTTAGAATGCCTCAGTGGTAGTCTTGAATTAAACCAAGACTGGTTACGATAAATTACTTTTGTAATATTAATACAAGTTGATGTAGGTAAAGCAGGTAATCGAAAAACGTTGTCAAAGTTTTTGCATTTAACTGTACTTGTTGACTACGGTATAAACATAGTTCGGTATGGATGTAATTGTGTGTTCAATTATTAGGTAGACCAGAGCAGTTTTCTCAGCGGGATACAGTATGATTTGCCGGGTAAATAAATAAATAAAATATTGATTCAAGGAGTTCAAGTAAGGTTGTTATTGGTTTGAGCGAGTGTATGGCGATTACCATCCTTTGAAGGCAATGATGCCTACTTATTGAGAGCTAAGAATGATAATCTGGTATGAATGGAAATTGTGGGTTTGGTTATATAATATAGTTATTAGTTAATTGGACCTATATACGGTCATTTATCGTATTTGAATTTATATGTTGTCTGTCTGTACTGTCCAGTCTGTTGCGGTGTTTAAATGATTTAGATGTTACAAGGAACGCCTAGGCCCGCGCGTGGCTTAAAATAGAAAAATACACTTTATTCGTGTGTCCGGCGGCTAGTAACAATTTGGAAAATGCGAAGTCGTAACGTTAATGTTTCGCTGGCCATGTGACCCTGGTACCATTCGGCCCTACATTGCAAGGCAAATTGACAATCACAATGTGGTTTACAGTAAATGTAATGCGATTTGTTAATGGCTTTTACATTCGCGTTCCTACTTCGCGACTCGTTCAGGAAACATTTATCTTTATTCGTTTATGATTTGCGTAATCGTTGTCAGCGGCTCCTTTGAGCACGTTATACGACATTTATACTGTGTAATTATATTACCTACACACTTACTTACGCAGGACTCGTCGTTCAGAGCAAGGTTCACACGTGTTATACTATGTATGAAGCAACAATTCCCAAATCCATAAGTGTCAAGAGCGAGGTTATCACTCGCCGCCGCGCGCCGCCGACTGACCTAAGTAAACATTGAGACAATGTTATCAGCTCATCAATATTACTCGGTAAAAGGATTAAAGTAAAGTGAAAGAGTTATTCTATTACGTAATAAAAATGGCACCAACTTGGCTGAACTGGACCTATTTGGATTCGGTGTAGGCTTTTTGATGACTTTTATATTTTTATGAAGATGAATGAAAGGACTTTGTAAGTAGGTACTGCTAAGTTTAATTTCATTCTATCCAAATTTACAGTATTAACACAGAGGTCCAGATCATTTCCTATATCTAATCAAAAATTGAAGTTATACTTATTTTTATTAAACGCACGGTTTTCCTATCCCTTGGAGAGAAAGAAGTGTGATTATCATAACCGCATAAGCCATAAGACGCCCACTGAACTGCTGAACATAAATCTCCCCTCATGGCTTCTAGATATTATTAGAAAAATCAGTAGTGTAATATTATGTTAAAAATACACCTAATATCGTAGAATTTCCTAAAAAAATTTACGTCTAAAGGCTAATTTTTCATTGATATTTTGAGGAATAACTTTGAATATTTGACAATTATTCCGTACTAATATCTTTATTTAATTGGGACAAGCCCACCACAACTTCCCAAAACCACTGCAACTCCTGTAAGCCAGGATCTACAGTAGATACAACCATGAAAACACCGGAACACTGAAGTCCGGCGCGTCTCAGGGACATGAATTTTGGTTGGAATGAGTCTTGGTTCCCGCAACGAAGTGAATCAGAAGATATCATAATAGGAGAAACAAAACGTCCGTTCTAATAACTGTCAAATGTTAATTTTATTCTACAGGAATTAACTGATGATTGAAAAATCGGCCCTAAATATACCACAAATATTGAAAGTCCCTATTAATTAGTTCAAATAGTAAGTAACTCTAACAGGTAATTGTTTCTGCTGTTCAAAACAATATTACTCACTTTTTTTATTAAAGCTATAAAATAGTTTATGGAGTGATTAGATATACCTATTGATAAAAAAATAATTTAAGTAGATAGGGAATAACATAGAATTCATTAGGAAACTGCTTTTAATAAAATACGTAGTAAACATACCATACCTACTGCATATTACGGATTTTATAATAATAATTATATCTTTACGTGGAGTTATCCTAATCTACTGATATTTCAATAACAAAATTAGCAAAGCATTAGCAATTTGTGTCCGATCCTGCGAAGTTACATAAAATATATCGCAGGAAACCTACAAAACTACTATTTTACACATTATTGTGGTGATTGTACAAATGAAATCACTATGTTATGTAGTTTTAAATTCTTCAAAGTTATTAATAGGCACTTAATTCGTCAACAAACATTCAAATTATTGCAACATCTTCAACATGCAACGTGATCTATGATTAGATACGGTAATCATAGGAAATTATTTTATCAATTTAATATCGTACAGCTACTTTAACAAATTATAATACTTATTGTACAAGTTGTTCAAGAACCGAATACTTCGTGTTGTTATCGTTTTACATAGAACAAATATTTGCTAGTCGTAGACTGATAACGAGTGGTGCCATAGTGGAAAATTAGTGTAATAATTTTTGTTAAGACCGCGACGGTCACACGCTCGGTGCAAGATACTCGCTGTTATAGTCGATGTACGTTGAACATGGACTAAAGATAAAAGAAAAAATGCTATATAGATTATGCGATATATTATCAAAGATTATCACAGGCCACAAGATATCGCTAGAGTTGAAGACACACAAGTTACTAATCATGGCAGAGGCCGCACGAAACGTGTTTACTTTAATAAAATTTTAATGACGTAGCTCGTATTGTGGTGACAACATTAAACACAAAAACGCTGTAATAATAGCAGGATAATGTAATCAATGTAATAACTATCGTATTGTATGTAAGGCAAGTGTGCGGGTGGCAGCCCTGGGACCACATTTATTGGTTTGCGAGCCGATGCCGTTCGATTTCGTCGACATATTGTTATCGTTACCGCCATCACCATGATTAAATGGTTTGTACAGGTGTAACGTTGTGTGCTAGTTACGTGCTGATAAATGTTCCTCTCAACAAAATGCTGTGACACTGATTTTATTATTCGTGAAGTGTTTCTGTGATACCTGTGAGTGCAGTGCTATTTCTCAAAATGGATCGTTTTAGGCAAAAATCTAAAAAAGAAAAACCGATGAAGTACGTAGACAAGGACCAGTCTCCGTTATTTATAACGGATGTCAAGGCGATTAAAGAAAATCTCAAAATAAAGGAGATTTTAAGAACCGTAAAAATGAATAGTAGTATGCGAATAAAAGCACCAAAAGGGAGTAAAGTTATGCAAAATAAAGATTTTAACGATAATGAAGACATATTTGGTGTAGATCAAAATAGTGACGACCAAAATAGTGAAAATCAAAATATACCAGACCCACCAAGCGCAACAAATCCTGACGTTATCGTCAGTAACAACAATGAAGAAACAGGCGAAGCTAATGCTGAAGACACTGTTGATAAACATAGTGAGTCGGAAGAAGAAATACTTGAAGATTGTATTGAAAATGAAAGTACGACTGATCCGATAATACATGAATCTATCAGTGTACCAGAAGGTTTGCAAGATTTCGTGCTAATTAGTGAAGAAAACAAACAAGACATCGAAGAAATAGCAGACGTCAAAATCGATTCACCGCCCCCGAGCGAGATCTCGCATGTGAAGGCTCGCGACAGAAAACTATCTTTGGATCAGACTATGTTATCTAGACGTGGGGGTTTGTCACAGTCTGAATTGGATCTAAATTCAATTGGGAAATCTCCGCTAGAGAGAAAATCTTCCTTTTTTAGGAAAAAAATGGATAGCTTTTTGAAAAATACTACAGAAATATTCAAGCGACAATCAATAGGCAGGAGCCAGTCCATTCAGTCAAAGAGTTCTATGTCGGTGTCACTGCAGTCCTTGAACGAGAACATCGCGTGTAATGGCCATTACGGGGAACCCCTTCACAATCATGAAGTAAGTATCTCGTGTTTTCTATTACCTATATCATTTAAGTTTATATGAGAAGTTGACGTAATATACGTATCTACTTTTATCTATCTATACTTATAATAAATCTGTAGAGAGATCAATTCTGTACATAAAATATATTTAAAAAATAACTATCAAGGGGTGGTTAGGGATCGCTACTGATGCCAAAAATGCAATCAGTAAAATTTTTGTCTGTCTGTCTGTTTGTCTGTATGTTCGTTATGGAAACAAAAACTACTCGACGGCTTTTAACGAAATTTGGCACAATTATTCTTCATACTCTTGGGCAGGTTATAGTATACTTTTCATTACGCTACGATCAATAGGAGCAGAGCAGTGAAGGAAATATTGGGAAAACGGGAGAAGTTACTCCATTTTTTAAGCTTCCGTCGCGTTTGCAGGCTTATAGGTTAAAGCTACATAGAAATCATGTATGACGGAAATATTCTCCTTAAAATTATATAAAAAATATTCCTGGAGAGCATATGTCTATCTTTTATGGTTGACTCACAATAACACGTGAAACTCCCGATAGCCAAGCAACTCGGTGATTTCTGATTGTATTTGTCTACTCTAACGTTTACAATACTCATTCATAGAGTTTACGCTGTAACTGAAAGGCCAATGGTTGATTTTAGCTTGACTTGATGTTGATTTGAGCTTATTATAAATGAAAATATGTGAGTTTATGTGTATGTTTGTTACTCAGTCATATTAAACCGACTTAAGGGACCAGAATGTAATTCGGAACAGAGGTAGATTATGGTCTGAAGTGATACATAGGCATTTTACCCCTGGGATCGCGGGCGAAGCCGCTGGCAGAAGCTAGTAAAATAATAAGTTTCGACTATGTCTTTTGAAAACTATAAATTTTGAGGTATTATTGTGATGATAATGGCATCAGAGTATTTACTACTTTCTTACTTAAGCTATTTAAGGATTCTTCTAAATTAATACCATGACCTGGACTATCACTAGGACATTAACAAGCCGCGAGCGAAAACTAGAGTCTTTCTATTGATACCTAAATCAGGGTTCTACCTCTAATTATACTTAAATCATTCGAAAATACCCATTAACTTAAAACAATGAAACACTTTAACTTTGTTTATTCTGTTTAGTTCTGAAGTTATTTTAATTAAACTTAATATAATATTATTTCTTAATAGGTAGGTATTATATTAAGAATACAATAATAAGCAACACTGCCTATTAAAATTAAGTAGCGGTGACTGCCCAAGTAAGTTCGAATGTACAATTGAATGTCTTCTTTTGTGAAGGCTTATTACAATTCAAATATGATAAAAGGTTTCACCATCACGGTTCTGAACTTTCATCATATTGTAATAGTTTGAACTCTTTCAGTTCAATAATATAAAAGTATTTGGTAAAAGAAAATGTAAATTTGATTTCATTGAAGTGAACTAGTGACTTAAATTGAAGAGTTTAATGTTTAAAGTGATTTGAAATATTAATCGTATTAATCGATGCTCGTAAGAAACTTTTTACCTCTTAACTATAGAATAGATTCCACGACTTGAGACTCTTAATTTAACAAGATTTTTACTTATACGGAATTACTAGACAAGTCTTATGAAAATTATATGAAATTAGTTCTTCTATTATATGCTAACATACTCCGTACACTGCAGTGATTACATTGTTTGCTTTCCGTGTATGATTAATTATTGCATTGCATTCTTTAGTAAATTCCATTTCAAAGATAACATTCGAAGTGCTCATAATATTTTAAAGATTTTCTATTTAGTTATGGCGGTATGTATGATTGTAAAGTACAATCGACTTGGAATCATGAGTATTATGACTCATTTTGCTGATGAATCGTTGAAATCTGGCAAAGAACAAAAATTACCCTTTTTCGCAGTGCACTTCGGATGCTGTAATAAGTGAACAATATCAAAAGAATCTAATATTTATATGGAATTTTAATTATTATCATCATAGCTATAGCAGTTTGTTCAAATAATAAATGATATAAGTATTTTACAAAACTTATTATTTGTTGTTGACGTTCGATTAAGACATAGAGAGATATAGAGAGGAAAACAATTATAGGTTACTTAGAATAATTCCTACACATAACATCACGCCTTTTATCCCCGAAGGGGTTGGCAGAGGTGCACATTACGGCACTTAATGCCACTGTACAATGTAACACCCATTGTTCACTATTTATGTAATAAGAGGTGAGCCTGCAATATACCGGGCACAATTTCAGACTTCGTATTACTACTGAGAAAATTCAATAATACTTTGCCCGATCCAGGAATCAAACCCGAGACCTATTGCCTAGCCTTAGAATAATTCTTATTAGAATAAAAAATAGAGATGTAGAGTGGTAAGTTGTAACAGATAAATCTGTGTTTGTATTTATGTTTGTATGACAGATAGAAGCTAGTTACCATGGAAGAGAATGTTAACGCGAATGCCAACCTGATAATATCAGCAAGTCTGAGCAATACAATTATTTAGTCACATTTTACAAATTAGTCGATTGTACCTGTACACATGTCAATTGTCGACACTTTTCCTGAACATTTTCCTCCAAACCCTAACTGCTATAATGTTGTACCTATAAATAAATATACAATGTACTGTACATAGTACGCCAATCAATAATACGTCATTCGTTTAAAAATGTATAACTGGTAACATATGCAGTATACCCGAATCTCCTTCGATTTGCAGTCAAATAAGCAAACACTAGACGGGTAACATTGTGCTTTAGACGTACAGACAGTGATGTGTTTGTAAATACCGTGTGCATAGAACTTACACAGATGTCAGCAGGGCAACTAAGTCTAATCCAACAAAGTTCCATAATAGATTCTCAACCTTGCTGCTTGATAATAAAGTCGAAAATCTGTTTTATAAGATTGACGGATCAAAGTAAGTTGACCCGCTAGCTTTTGTACATGAATGCTCAAGTAGGCAGATTCGTCTGTTCCCGGAGCTGGTTTGTCCGTGTCAATATTCCTGGCTGCCGACACCGGCTGCGAGTGAACGATACGGTGCTTGCACAATACTGTCGAAACATTTGTCAATATTCATCGCACAACGACCATGTAAACTGAATCGCACGAACATTATTTACGTTGCTCTTTGTACCACGTTCGTGCGTGGACAATGCTCATATAAATAAAGGACATCAATTGAATATAAAGTGAAAGGGGTAGTTCATTGAGCAATAGGTTAATTGCTGAAAGCCTTATTAAGTCATTTTATTCGATGTAGCACTTGTTCTACCTATACCTGATTTTCCCGATGAATATTCTAAGATATTGTTGAACCTACAAGTTTCCGGTTGGCTGTCGTGGTGGCCCGTAGGTTTAAGGCGCCCGCTTCTCATGCACCTGGGTGCGGGCTCTAAACCTACCAATGGCAAGTACCAGTGTTACTTTTTCCGAGTTATATGTACTTTCTAAGATTATCTAGACACCACTTACAAACGGTTAAGGAAAACATCGTGAGAGATCCCGAGCTTATAATTCCTAATTATGGAATGTTATGCCTAGTTTTGATTGAGCAAGCGTGGTGATTAAAGCTCAATAACTTCACTGTCTGAGAAGTGGCCTTTGGTCAGCATTGGCCACTTATAGGCTGTAGTTGATGATGATGATGATGATAATGTTTCTGGCCATAACAATAAAAAAATATATTTAGATTAGTTATAGTAACTAAATTAATATTCGGATACTCTCGTGGGTTTGACACGCTACTCAGCCCCTGGTGGTGGTAGCGCAATGTTAATAAATACATTATACTATTCAACACAAAAACATTTATTTCAATTCGAATAATTTGTTCCAGAGATAGTTCAACCAAATAAACAAACACTTCGGCTACAGCTTTACATTATTTTATAAGTAAAATTAAGAAGTATGTTTGGTATGCGAGACAACAAACTGCGGATCACACAAAGAGTTGTTCCGTGCAGGAATCGAACCCGAGACACGTTGCACGACAGCCAGTTGCCCAGCCGCCGCGTCAACCCTGTAGTCAAAATTGATTTTATAAATGTCATTTCAGGAAGAACTTCAGAGGAGTACAACAAGCCTGCAATCGTCGCCCACAGCGGCTCGAAGTACATCTAGTTTGTCTATATCTCAGAGCGAGCAGACGTTACCTGATCAACAGAGTGAAGGGGACAGCATTTCTGGAAGCCGACCCATACTGATTGGAAGTCAGCCCTTAGGAGACACATCCCCTAGCATCAACAGTAAGTATTGTAATATGTACATACATCACTATATAGATATCATTTTTATGTGGACTAACACATAAAAATAAAAATGATATAAGTGACAGAGAATACTAGTTCTCTATCTTTTTATAATAACATCTTTCGACCATTAAATTTTTGTAGTTAAAAATACTCGTCTCGTCAATTATGCAAGTACAGATACACTCTGTGTCCAAGCATCAGGCATCATATCACGGCCAGATGAACGGCAATCCGAAAACAACGTGATGCAGGCGGGGTGCAACTGCAACACTTATTGTGACATGTACTGTACTTTACTGTACTTTTACTGGTGAAATTTTTCCCCATGTAAATCACTTAAAAGTGATGTATTTAAGTAGGTCCTTAATGAATTTAAAACTTTTAAAAGTAAGTCTCAATTTGAAAATGCAAAATGCGAATTGTTAGTCCGAAACACTCGTTTATGAACGTTTTTTTAGGCTCAATACATCAACTACCCGTAATAGTCGACAGATGGATCTTACTCACTCATCCTCTACATGTGGGTTGGAAATCGTAATATAGGGATTCTGTGCTGCTACCCGGTCTCCTTTAAATGTGCAATGCCTTATAACAAAAGCACTGCACTCCAATGAAAGAGACTGCACACCCGATTATTGAGGAGGGTAATGGGTAATAAGAAGAAGAAAAAAACCCATTTATTCTTGCACAGAACACACATAACATAACTAAAAAATAAAAATAAAATATAGAGGTAATATAAAGCGAGGGTAAACCAAGGTAGGTATAATAGAAATATTAGAGATATAAGTACACATAAATTAAAAATACTAAGGTTCAATGATGATAACTCTGGAACCGTCCATCACAACATACACACTGTATAAACCTTAGGGTCCTTTTACGCCTGACACCATGTACGTACACCGGTTGCTGAATCTCTATTTCTCTCTATGCCTCCATTCAATCAGCTTTTAGTACTCAATACGCGTAGGTACTTGAATTATAAAATACCTGCTCCGCAATTTCATCACTTAATTTAAAGTTTATCCAATATTTTGCATCGCAGTTCATAACCGGTCAAAGAGCTGTAGTACTTGCCTTTGAGCTGAGATTTTTCCAATGAATGCATTCCAATAAAACTCTGCGTTTCATGCATAATTCTTCATCTATATTTCTGTACGGCATCAACTGCATACACGTGTACGACCTCTATTCAATTTCGTCCTTTAGCAAACAGCTCGTGACATTTAACTTAAACCTCTGCAAATTTTAGCTGAACGAATGCTGTAAGTTGAAACCACAAATAGTGCTGGAGTTACAAACAACTACAAACTGTTTGGTATGACATTGTTGGGAAACTCCTCACCGGTACAAGGGCACTCGGGCACCAGGCTACCGTACAAAGACAGAGATTCTATTCATTTACCTACTTTCAAAGGACAAGTTCCAGCTATTCAGTTTTGCTGCAATAGCAGTGGAGAAACCGTACTGGTTTCTCCACTGCTAGTTCAAATATGTGTTATTGTCGCATTTTTCATTGTTAGACGACTCTGAAAATGACATTAAATTAGTTACTAAACAAAAAGATGTAATGACGTATTCAGCTACAAATCTGACTTTGATTGGCGATTGCTCAAAATGTTGCAATACCAAACCGATTATCAAATAATGATACCTCGACAACGCTATATATTTCCCCTTTACATAAGAAATACAATAAAATAATGCTATCAACCATTACAGAAATAAATCTTTAACATCATAATAGTTCAGTTGCAATTTGCAATTTCTTTTTCATCTTTACGCTGTGCAAAGTTGTAATAAAACGAAACAGATATTTGTTCTCAACATTCAACAATAAGGTTTGCACACGCCTTAGGCTTTCAAAGGAACTATCTGTAAAAGTGTACAAAGCTGTGCGCGTTGGAGCAGGGATACTTTTGTTATGAACAGACCTGACAGACTTTATTCGGATGAGCTGTGTAAGTGAAGCGCGACAAAATGATGAACGAGCTCGCGCTGAACACCCGCGCCGGGAACCATTCACTCAGACTCAGGGACACCCGCTGACATTGACAGTGAAATATATGATAATGAACTACCTTACAATTTACTAATTGCAATTAATCTCGTGTTACCTGAATGCCACGGCGCTAGAACCCAACGTGGACTCTAGCTCTAATGGGTGATGTAATACGTAAACAAACGGCCAACTACCTACATTATTATATTTTTAAACTCGGAGTAAGGAAAACAGTTGTTATTTACGAACGAATATAACTTCATATTAGTAATGTCAATCACAAATAGGTATCCGAATACATCTCTAATTCACATCGAGAAATACAAACTACTTTGTATTTATAGTATCCAACGAACCCATTAATAGAAAATGGATACTTAGGTAAGCGGTTTACAGAAAATTGCTTACTTACTAATTTCATACGTTCTTCTAATATTCGGCAAGAATAGAATGATATTGTTGGGAGTTTATTTATTGGAAATTGTTATTTGGGGAAAGCCTTTCATTGAGTTCCGTTTGGAAGTATTGTTTCGTATTATCGCAACACACCGGCACAATAGGTCTGCCATTATGAATTAACACAAATGGAATGACCGTTGCATCACAATCTTTATCAATCTGATTTTAGTATTGAAGTAATTTAAACACAGGACAAAAAAGGGTAGACAATACCTTATAAAAGCAACCGGTTGTTTAGAAAACTTATTAAAATCACATTATAGAAACTTTAGAAAAAAAAGATTAATAGTACAATTTAATTCAAACGTTTATTTCCAAGTTGATGTGAATGATATATATTCACTTTTCTGTTCGGTCACCATGGACGAATGTGTTACCACACTCGTCGACGGAGACCGAGTGGCGGATGCAGGCTGGCTGCACTCCAACCGGACTACACTTGAGCTATAGCTCATAGTACAAGACATCGCGGCTGCGCACTGTCGTACCCTCTTACTTGCGCAGCACATTTCTAATAGATGCCAAAGCCTCAAATAACCCATCTTCATTTCATTTGTCGTTGTTAGACCCTAGATTCCGCACTCATACAATGTACTGCCTCGTTGGCCGCAAGCGAGACTGCCGAGTAAGAGGTCTCAGGGTCGATTCCCGGGTCTAGTAAAGTTATATTGGATTTTTTTAGTTTCTAGATAATACTCATAGTAGCATCAAGTCTGGAATACCACGAGTGTAATAGGATCATACTATTATGATATACTTATATAGTTGAATGGATAATAGTGCAGAGTTACTAAGTTATAACATTACGATCCTATTTGATTCCAAGTGAGTCATAAAATATGCGTTATGTACAATCAGACAGTATCTATCGTAAAAAAATTTAGAGATGAATTTGATCGAAATGTACGCACCTGCCTGATATTTCGATCTATCTTGAGATACATACATAGCTATCTAATCAATTACTTATTTGCATGTCTGACGTTCAAGCAAATGACGCCATTGTTACTATTTAACATAGAGCAGCAATTTGAATACTGATATCAATTTTTTTTTGTGATAAAACAGTATTTAAAACTTAAGTAACTGTGTAATTACTAATCTGTCTACATTTTCATTATTTAATAATGTGACCGTTAACAGAGTTTGAATAGTTCAAAATAAAAAACTATTTTGGGCCGGAGTGCTCACCTTGCAGTCAGATTCGGACAGATATAATAAAAACGGAGCGAGTCAGATGAAAGCATTTAGTTGTTACCTAAAAGGTTGTCACTAAAACAGCCTGTGTGATGAAGGCCATACATACATATGCACAACAGGTATCACAACGGAACAAATCATCGCATGTGGAGAAATTTTGAAAAATCAAGTTTAGGGATTTTAGATTCTTTAGTCGATATTTTATTTTCAGATATCCAAACTATTTCAATAACGACTACGATTTGCTTTGACGCGTCTGCCGTTACCACCACGCGGCACTGTGAACATAGATGTTCCCTTTGATAATATTTTTTTAAATCTTTTTTTGTCGTCATGCTTCGAATGCGCTATCTATTGATAGGCTTGAATATGAGAGGATGCATGGAACCTGCATGCAACCTATACACACCTATATGTAGAGTATACCCAGTGATAAATCTTAAAAAAGTTGTCTAGGTGTAGCTTCACATGAGCTTCACCTTCTAGTTTTGTAGAATTTGGTGATACCCTTCATGTAGAGGAGGCTAGCCAACAGTAGACTGATACGGGCTGTTGATGATGTAATTCATTTGTATATACTGATTTTGAAGACAAAATAGAAATAAAATTAATGCTAATTCTTGATATAATACGGAATTGGGCACAACACACTCCTAGTCATATCATTAAAAACGAAGATAAAATATGACAGATGTGACATAAATAAAATTGAAACGGTCGAAGTCGATATTAAATCTGATTTTATTTTACAGGTCTTAATGAGACGTATATCCAAGAGTCTATGCTCAATCGAGCCATATCCATGAGTTCCGGTTTGGATTCTGCAAGCGGCCAAAATCGTCGAAAATCAAGATCTAACAGGTATTTATTTTTACAGACTAGTAAACACATTAGGCTCAAATACAAAACTGTCTCTAGATCAAACGAGTCCTTGTTTTTGGGAAGGTTGTAACGTATCAGTTAGTTAGCTTGTAACAAATATGGCAGCTGTCCAAGGACTTGAGTTCTTTTTGAAGCGCCGACGGGTATCACTGAAACCCTTTAGTTTATAACTGCGGGTAAAACATTTCTTTTTTAGAAGTCTCGATTGAAAAGGCCAGCTTGTACCGTACTGTGTCACTGGGCTGTCCGACCGTCAGAATGATCTATCCTAAAAGGTTAAGGAAAGGGTTATCGTTCATTCGACTTCGTAGCGCTTGATTGACAAACCCTAAGGCGAACAACGAATGAATTTATAAAAAATGGCGGCCTGTCTCTTGAAGCTCGTTATAGATATTCTAACCAAAATTAAATCGGTAACAATGTTGCCCATACAAAACCAGTTTTTACAAGGTATTTTTTGATTTCAACTTTCAGCTGTTTTATGGATGTCTATAAACTTCAATAGTTGTTTGAAATAATTTAAAAAGTACGTCAGTAGCTACAGGGCAATTTTCTCTCATCCACACTTTTGTCATACTATACCAACCGACCATTCATACATATTTATTTTATTCAGGATATAATGTCGAATAAAACAAATATTTGTAAAGTTTAATTTTAGTGTAGCTCGAAAATTAAACCAACTCTATTACACATAGAAAAGTCCTGTATGCAATCATTTTATGAAATTGTAGAAATTTTCGCCAGCCAAATCCCGAATGGGCAGGATTATAAATGATTTGCACGAAATTCGACAAAGTTACGATTAGTTTCACCGTCGCGTCGCGTGAGTTTATATGTATGTCACATGGACATCGGATCTTTGAAACTCCACAATAGGTAAATGACGTGCATTTCGAACGGCACAAGATAATCCGTTTAGTTCAGATCGTTGCTGGAAGGCACAATCGGAGCGAAAAATTACATCAACGCGCCCACCTCACCCGTTCATAGCGTTGATGGAATTCCACGAATACAGAAACACATAATCAACGTGTCTGATTTTCACATATTATGACCGTATGGCTATAGAATTCAAGGTCAATAATTGATACAGATCAATTTACTAACATATTGATTTGTTTCCGATTCCAAGAAAATAACAATATCAACTAAATATGTACGTACATTAAGTCTAGATTCGTCGTATGAAGATTATTGAGAATATCTATACTTATAAACCCAATAGTTGGCTAATCCAAGATTCGGATTGTTGCGAAGCAACCACTCGATTGACGAGAAAGCATTATTGTACGGATCTGTACACCTGCACAGTGTTCATATACATATACAATTTTACACCACCAGAAGCAATTGCAAATGCTATTGCTGTAAATACTTGCAACCAACGCAACGTACTATGTAGCGTAGGAATATCTATATTGCTGACGTAACATTTCTGTTGCAGGGACACAAAACTACACCACAAAAAGTATGTTATCACCACAGAACATGTAACTTCTTTATATGTTCTGTGGTTGTCACCACGCATAAATTTTACACCCAACATATGGCAACAGGATCTTATTTCGGGAGTACCTAATAAATAACATACGTACATCCACTTATATACTAACTAAGTGGGTGTATTTTTTTCTACCTACGCCTTCAGGGAAAATAGACAAATGATAATGTTATGGCTAATTATTGGTTCTATATCTTACCTTCTCAGCCTAAAGCGATGGTTTCATGTGACGATTGTTATGACAAATATGCTATAAATGATTCAGTAAATGTAAACATGAAATCCTAGATACCTGTATTCTTGACGAAAAACGGTTTGCTATTTTATTTAACACATGCAAAAGATTTCTGTTCAGTGTAGGTTTTGGCGCGTGTAAAGCTTCAAGGAACGTGTACGTGTGTGTACAGCTTGTCTTATGCAAGGCCGGCTCTAGACATAAGCAGCATATGTATAGGACCTTGAGTCCTTGTATTATCCTTTTTACATACTTATTGAAAGATATTATAAAAGCACCAGTATCTATCTACATACAAAATTACAAAACCTTACACTTACAAATGTAAGTTTACTTAATTAAAATTATTTTGTCGTTAATGTAAAATTAGTATAAAGTTATGGAACTTCTTTGATGCAGACGTATAGAGCTGCAAGTTTTCAAAACTAAGTGCTTTCATAATAATTAAGATTAAAGCCAGACTTGGACGTCGCTTCATATTCCAGTTTAGTGCGCAGTACTCGTGCACGGTATACATGTTGCAATCATCGATCAATATAACGGACATCAAACTATTAGTCAACAGGTTTACAAGGTCTCCGTGTGATACCGACAGTGACTGGTATTAATTAGGCATCGTTCACACTAAACATATTGTTCGCCGCCGACTGTGAGTATTCTCACTGTCAGCCTCAGTGTGAACTTGGACTGAGTCTGTCAATTGCGGAACTAATGGTTTAATAGAATTTCTCAGGTAGGGTACGTAGGCTAAGGTGGAGAAGAAATGTTTTAAATTCATCAATAGAGATAAATAAAATTTAAGTATCTGTTTGTATTATTGAAATAATCGCTTTTACTTCTTTTATTATCTTCTTCTATTATATCTTCTGATTTTTTATGGCATAAGTCGGTAAACGGGCAGACGGATCACTTGGAGGCTTACTCTTGAATCCAATTCCGATCGATCGACATTGATATTGTGAAATTTTGTACTCTCGAGTTGCAACACTAGCGCCCATTGCATCCGTGTTGCGTGGATATTGAATGAACTAAATGGTATTGAGTTTGGCTTTATATTTCTGAGTGCTTTTGTAACAGCTACGATTGTGATTATATAGTGTTGACATTGAATAATTATTGAGATTTTAGTGGATTGAAGTTGCATTGAAATTAAGATTAGTTTCAAGAGTAAGCGCCCTGATGGTAAGCAATCGGCATCGCCCATGGACACCTGGAACAACAGAGGCGTTACAAGTGCGTTACCGGCTTTTTGGGGATTAGGAGTTTGAGGATCGTTGGGGATTCAGGGATTGGGGAGATTGAGGAAGGGAAGGGTAATTAGGCCTCCGGTAACCGCACTCACAAGACGAAACACAACGCAAGCGTTGCTTCACGTCGGTTTTCTTTGAGGCCGTGGTATCACTCCGGTCGAGCCGGCCCATTCGTGCCGAAGCATGGCTCTCCCACACTTAATTTATTTTTTTGTGGGAATTAAAACAGTTATTCATGTCCCTGAACGCTGACTTCAGTGTTCCGGTGGTTTCATGGTTATACCTATCTACTGTAGATCCTGGAAAAAAGCGCTCGCGAGGCGCGCCGCGTATACAGCTTTTTTAAGTTTTTTTATATTAACGTTATGAAATATGATATTGGACTAATTCAATATTTTTTGTTGAATTAGTATTAGTATCCAGTAATCGTTTATTACATAATTACGCAGTCGTGCTTAGTGCCAAGCTAGTTAAAATGGCAAATAAACATCTGCAAAACTTTTTTGAAAGAGGCTGGATTCCACAATTGTTCTGTTTGATATCAAAAGTAGATATTTTTTGTTCACAAAGTTTTGAAGTAGGATCTTAGTAGAATACAATAGAATCTGTGAGCGCAAGACCGCCGGATACACAAAGGAAATGTTTTCGTTCTTGAACTGTTTAAATGTTACAACAAAACATGGCATTTGTAAGTAGATAACTTCGTGGTCCTTGTAATTTCATTTAAAATTATAATTGCTTCAGTGAAATTTACATAGTAGTTACTGCTGAAGGTGGGTTTTTTCTGATCTTCGTACTAAAGCATAATTGCCAGGCGATGTGTAGCGGTTCAAAAGCCACTATAATTATAACTTACTTAACTCTATAAAATAAAATCTAGTTTATAACAAATCCTTCACATCAAGGTGTTCAGGAAGGAGTGTGAGTATGCAGAGACATATGATGCACATCAATCCTCTGATTGATATGCATCATATCTTCTCATCATGTTGTCCTATTGCTGATACGTTTCGCACACTTTATTAAAACCGGAACTCCCTAAACAAAGCTTAATTTTTATGTCTTTACTTTTACTTCTTGCATCGACAAATAAAAGTTTAAAAAGTAATTATTATGCAAGACCTAACGTTAAGCATCCAGCTTTTTTCAGCATAATATGGCAAGCCAGGTTAACATGCTGAATACTCGGCTATGTAGTATGTCCGCCATGCAACCCGGATACCTTACCGGTGTCATGGCATTCATGTATCTGCAATAAACGACGTAGTTACTGACACTATTCTCTTGTATCAAGCAGAATATTCGAAAACTTCCCAGCTACATTGTTTGAGTGCGCTGATGCCATTTTTCACTTTTAACTAATTTTGGTAATTTTATTTCACTATAAGTAAGTCTTAATTGCAAAACAGCTCAAAAAATACCGCTAAACTGTTATTTAATGTTTTTATCACACAATATTTAACACGGTGTCGAGTGCCCTCATAAAAATCTAAATAGGGAGATAATTGCTTACATTACGTAAAGGGACCTCCCTTATCTTTTCGGTTAAGTATTGTTGAGCGCTGCCCTTACCGAATAAGTGGGGGCTTTTTGTATTAATTTTTACTCTCTTCATGGGAACAGTCCTTGTTACGAGATTGCAGTAGCTCTAATCCTGAAAATCAATTGGATGTCGTCTCATAATGTTCTGTGGTCTCAGCTATAGCGAAGCACTACATTAGCTTCACGTTCTGTGCCGACAACCTATCAAAGGCGATCTAGTGCATGTTCACGGAAAAATGCAATGTCAAAGCCGATGCAAATTACATTACAAGATGATACATTTGAATTATGATTATAGTTCCGTGCACTCGTGTGTGTCACTTTCAAACGGAAATTAACATTATTTCTAAGTTGATTTTGCAATCACGAATTTCACAAATTGTTTCTCATTCCAGCAAGCATACTACAAAGTGGTTGTCTTCATAAAGCGTTGCCTCACTATTATAAATTGTTAATTGAAGTATTCCTCGAAGGAAAATATACCATAGTTACGTTATAAAATTTTGCAAGATTACCAATTATGAAATTTTCAACAACGTAATAGGCACAGTGGCGTCCCTAATTATACGAACTTAGGTTTTGACGATAGGCTCGCAGCATATTTAACGTGTAACTGTTATGAAGCTAATAATAAAATAGAGCAATAATTTTGGGATGGGTGAGAGGATGTCACAGACTCTTACTAAATAAAACCATACCGTTCCTACTTCTGCTCTTTGAGTTATAGTTATCTGCTCATAGTTCCGACAACCCATTACTTATTCCGCGGCTCCATATCGGGCATCAGCCCTACTGGGCCCCAAATGTGGTGGTCTGATGGCTCTTAGAGGCACGCGCGGAACGCGCTCTGGTCAGGGAGCAACCCCTGCCTGTGCTGCGAACAATATATATATATACATATATATCATCATATATATTACATTATACATATAAAAGTTCAGTAAAGAGAGATATGATGATGGTATTGTATATGTAAGCCTTAGTACTAACTAAGCCACTGTGTAGTAGTTGTTCAACTACGTGCTGCTGAACAGTCAGCATCTCTACTCTTTTCTGTGGGTGTCCGAGTCCGGTCAGCGGACCTAACCTTTTAAACTGTGAAAACCCTCTATTGTAGGGCGGGGCTAGATTTCAGCTGTAGTAGTGTGGTAGTCACGGCCTATTGTTGATGGTGTCCCCAGAGCTGCGTACCTGACTCAATCGCTTTTCAATGGGCTATGGGTCTTTTTACAGATCAGATGGAGCTAATGTGAACCTCTCGTTCTTCGTCCAATAGGGAATTAGTCACAATATTGGACGTTCAATATTTGACAGCTAATGTGATTGAACAAAAATACCACTTCCTATATTATCGCCTTCTAGTGGGCAAGACGTTAAGCGTCAGCTCCCATTGGTTTTACGCTACTAAAAGAATACTTTGAGGACCGAATATTTACTCGTTCACTTAATTCTTTTCAAACACGGAATTTGTAATTTTAAAATTCCATGTTTTCAAAGAACGGTCTACAATGTAATAATAAAAGACAAACGCATAGAACAAGCGAACTTGGTTCGTACAAACAAACAAGTCGTATGATTTAACCGAACAATGCTTTTTATGACAAACGTTTGAGAGACGATGTAGTATGAAGGCCCGTGTACAACAGTAATTTGATTTCTGTACTTTGTACTTCAAACAAACATTGCGATTCTTTTTACAACTCTATGCCATTTGAAACAGTTTTGCATTTACGATTTTAATACGCATTGAATTTATTTGAGTACTTACTTAGATGACCTTAAGAATCCTCTTATTTTAGCAGCAAAGTACGCCTGGTCGACGCATCTCGAGACCAGAGGGCTGGTCTGTTTCTCGGTCAGAAGTTAAGCATTGGTCGGGATCTCCCGACCAATGAGCTTCATCATATTATTGAGCTCATTGCTCTCTGATATATGATGAAGCTCATTGCTCTCTGTTTTGTCATATGTGTGATATGATAGTTATAGGACTAACTAAACACAACGCCTTAAAATAAGACAGTATAATAATACCAATGTTATAATTAATTATGATATTATATTTGATTTTATAGCTGAACAATATATATATTTGGGTAGAAAATAAGCCTCCAAGCAAGCAAAATAGGTTCTAAATTTATAAAATAATCTGGTTCAAAATAGGTATAAGTATTAGTTCGCTGAATAAAATCCGCTGATCATTAAATACTTGGATAAAAACATCTTCTATCAAAACTATTTATGAATTTCATCGAAAAAGATTAAACTAGAGTAACAAGGTTGAAAGCGCTTTATTATTAATGTTAAACCCTTTAAGAACAGCATGTTTTGTAAAAAATCGATATTGTATCGAGTGAGCATCATGATATCGATACGTAGCGAGGCGATGCGATGAGTTACTGGAGTGAGCCATGTCATCAATCAATTTGTTACATTTCAGGGTCACGTGGCTGGCCAGTGAAGGGCTCACTAACTACTTGCGGCGAGTCATACAAGACGAGAAGAGTAGGGAGATAAACTTATACCACTCGTACCAAGACTTCTCCGCAATACCTGAGAACAATGTTGAGCCGAAGACGGACTCTAAAGGCAGACGGCTGTCGTACCAGCGCGCTGTCTCAGGAGAGGACCCACGCTACCTCGAGTCCAACATCAGGAGAAAGCAACTCATCCCCGAAAACTCTGAGGTATATTCAATTAATATATTCCTAAGTACTCTTTTAATATTTTCGTAGTCTTTTTACAAAAACATCCTGTTTTAGTTTACAATTGTTACACATAAGACTCATAATATTGTTCATATTTCGCTAAATATTTTTCATTTACATTTTGTGTTATGTAAGTACTACAAGTCCGCTTCTGCTAACATCTTAATGCGATTATAGGCTTGATGATTTATCACTATCATTTTTCTCCAGTTCGAACTTATAACATTGCGTCGTATCGTGGTCGCGGCTAGTAACTATTCGAGTCTTTAATTACTCGCAATACTAACAAGGTAGCTTTACAAAAGTAACAGATGCACAGCCAAAAGACCAAATTTCCACTAATTACTATCATAAGTACTAATAATATCGTATTACGTCACGCAACGTATACTTCTGTCCATATTGTACCCACTTTAAATGCCCGAGTCAGGTTAGAGAAAGCTAAAAGTAACTACAATACACAAACACAAATACGTTCACAAGTAATATTTCCGTTCGTTTCAAAAGTTATAACAATACGAAAAATTCATAGAAAAAAATTCCCGGAATTGTAAATACACCGGTGAAGGTTATTTATTGTTGATTATTAACGAAACAGTACATACTCTTAAAGTCTTTTGATTACTTCATTCTTTATTTCATTTATAAAACTAAACAGGCTCTATTGACACGTAAGGTTTCCGCTGAATAAAACCATAGCCAATTTCTTATATCAGTCTATTTATAAGTATTGCTGAAATAGTTCGGTTCCATGTTTTGACGTCAAATCGAACTTTGTTTATGTGATAATCGCGTGAAGCACGAACTTTGGCCGACAGGAATCAGTGTTTCATTTCAACTGCTCTATCTTAGCCGCAAGAAGAATCAACACGAACAAATTAGATCGATACAAACTATTCATGTTCTCATTAATTACCTAATTAATAAATCTTTCAGGAAAATGTATTAAAAAGTATAATGAAAACAAAATTTAATACAATTCTTAATTATATGCAATATGCAACGTAGCGGCTCGTAGCACTCCGTAGCAGGCCTACGAGCAGCTACGTAGCGCCCGCCTTGCCGATCGGTGGAGGTCGTATCCTAAGAACTCATTTACAGAATTACATTTTGAAAGATATAGGTTCTATTATAATTACTAAAATACAATACAACTTTATAAGTTCAGCACTAAAAATATTTAAAACATTTTTATGTGTGTTCATTAAAGCAATATTTACTCCTAAAAGTTATGATTCAAGTATTTGAATAATTTCTTTGTATTTTAAACAATTATCAATATAGCCTTAAATACAGAATTTAAAACAATAACTAATTATAGTTCTCTAGAAAATATGTTTAAGTGCAAATAGCGCGTAGGTAGATGGTCAAAGGTAAGCTCTAGTGCGCAGGTGTGAAGCGCACTGGAACTACCGAATAAGCTTCTACAGAGAGAGCCTCGAAGCTTTCAGTGTCCGTCGAGGAGCGCTCGAAGGCACTCGTGCCACCCGAGCAGCCTTAACCGACACGCGTGTATTCGTATTTCGTCAAGATGAAATTTTCGCTAAGTTACTTTTGAAATTGTTGACTACTTTTTAACGTTATTATGTTTATTTAAAAAAAATTAACATGTTAGATTAAAAATGATCCGATTTAAAACATTCTGACAACTTCTTTAACACTTTTACCGTTTCGCGCTTCCCGCACTTCTGCGGGTAGATAACTTTTTTCTTTGCTGAACGTATTGCCGAATTTCACCAGTTACTGGTAAGTATTACCACAAAAAATGAGTAAACTTATTCAATAGAGATATGTGAATAAACTAGTTCATGTCTTCTTCAGAAAAGTTGTGTATAAGTTCATTTGAAGTTGAATAAGTTTACTAAGAAGTTGTGTATACCTCTATATCACGTGTTTAATTTCAGACTCTTATCGTAATACGTATTTTGTAGCAGCGGATTCGGCCAAGGGTCATGAAATGAAGTTTTGTGGTGAGCTGGCGATAAAATCTGGGTTTATATTGATTCGGGCCAAGGTGTTTCATTAACAAGACCTCCAATTTTACGCACGATTCGAGACACGCGATTTCTTCAGATATACTTCATTTACATATCTGCATTGAAACAGTTTTTGTTTAAATACAGATATCTATAAAAATATTTCGGTAGACATTGTCGTTCTGAATATTATGAAAATATATTGCTTAATTATTGAACAAAAATGAATTTAAAAAAATAGCCGTACGGTACCTTTCATTATTACATATTTAAATACAGAATGGTCTTTTTAAAATTCAAACAGAAATTAAAAAAAAATATAACAGAGCACACACCACTAATAAAGAAGATATAACAGAGCACACACCACTTGTAATTAATTGTGACGTGATGGGTAGTAAAATGCTTGATTGGCATTCTTCGCAAAATAAATTTTGCTAAATTAATAAAAACAATATCATTCCCTCGAATACTTGCACTGAACGAGAAAAAATCAAATATATTTTGCAGGCGTTATTACGTAAAAATCTTTTTATAATAGTCACTGGGCATAAAGATGAAAATAATATTGCGGTAGGGCCATATTTGGCGCAAACGAGCGCTCTCTTACACCATAAATTCGTAATTTCGATGTAATAACACCTTTTATTGACATTAAATATTTTCTGTATTAGCTAAAAGTAATGATATATTTTCTAAATTTCGGTTTCGCCTGAGGGAACGTATAAAATAGGGTAGATACATTAGAATGAAACCACTCAGCAGTACGTAACATATTTACACACTTCACTTATTTTTAGCTTTAAAAGTAAGGCTTTAGCTATTTAATTTTATTTTGGATGCCTCATAGTATCCCATTAAGCGTATGACGATATCACTTATCCGTGGGATAAATGTCATACGTTTATATCAATTTGTGAGCATCGCCACGCGTGTCCTTTATACTGGGGCTGTTAACAACAATCAGTTTTTATTAACACACTTTATGTATACACAAAAATGTAAAACTCAAAGTCAATATACAAGAGTTAAAAAATAAGTTTGGCGATAAAATATCTGAGTCGTGTTATGCTCTAGTGAGGGGAACATCGTGATGTAATCTTATTGAGGCGAGGTTGATAACAAAGTTATCACTTCCCGCACATCTTTCAAGGGCGACCAAAGCTCTTTCTTTGTCTTTAAAATCTGTAGTGTCGATATTAAAATTTCATCGAATCATCTTGTTTTTTGAAGAGCAATCGATACCGATATCCGTAAGTAGATAAATATTTCTGATACGAGCAGATCATTTGCTTCGAGGGAATTGTGTAGAATTGCTAATATCGTTTAGTTATTTCTACTCAAACCTATTTAAGCAAATATTAATTAAAAAATGAATAACGAATGAACTCAATAACACAGTTAAGAATATACTAAGTCAAAAATAGGTAGGAATGATCGCCAATAAAATAACATCAGATAAATAAATAAAACGGAGTTTATTAATAAAGTTCTACATGAACATGAGAAAAAGGAACTACGTAATGGTAATTCTTGGGGTACTGGCGCACAGCCGTTACAGAACGTTTTATTACAATTGCTATAATACAAACTTTTACGATGTCACCATGTCACACCACAATGTTTAAAATTGTGCTATTATTTAATTGTCGGTCTTTTGATTAAATTATACCAAAAGTTAAGCTGTCTTACAGTAACACAAGTTGCATCATGCATACTCACTCCGGTCAGTACACAGTTATATGACAAAGTCACTCTTAATATCGTCAGTCTTCCAAGCTTTATTGGGAGTCCCGTATAATTTTCTATTTACCTACATCAGCTCTTTTACCCAGGAATCGGACCCGACACCTCAAGCTCCGCAGTCAAGTATAGAAAGTGTTGGTAACAATAACATGTCGTGTATATTGGAGAGCCATATTTATATATAGTTTATATAACAACTATAAAGCGGTATCACATGAAACATTTAAAATTACGTTCTATTTCGGTCGAACAAGATTGATAGTCCTGCAATTTTTAGAGATGTACTTACTAGCTTCCAGTCTTCACTGACTTTCTAATTGGTAATAATTCTAAATAAATAATGTACTATGAGGTAACGTTTCTGGTTAGGATTCAATCAAACTCTACTGCGAATGAGTATTGAAAACGCAAACCCAGTATGGGTAGGTGGGTAAACCAGGTGGGTACCTAGGATACCTAGCTGCCCTAAATGTTTTAAAACGTGTTTGATGTAAATTTCATTACCGTCACCGATATTGAATTTTCACTAGGGCACCTACTAAATATTTAATTGTATAAGCGGTTGGCCCAACAACGTGGGGTAGTTGCTTTCGTGGTTAATTTGTCGTTTTTATCGAAGTAAAGGTTAGCCCGAGCTATTTACTAAATAATCCCGATAATCGACTTACTTACGCCGAACCTTGTTTTAAATTTATGTTTCATTAACTCGATTAATTTATGCCGACAATTTACTTCGAGAAAGGTATCGGAAACGTGTTCCATAAAGATTTTTTAGAAATATAAGTACCTACCTAAGTGTTTGATAGAGTTTTGTTCAACAGTTTGCGTTGTTGGTTGTTAAAACAAACTGAAAAAAAATCACTAATGGATGGATCTACAAAACGCTCTCTATACAACTCTATGAATATTGAATTTGGTTTTATAGTTTAAATAACTGTTTTATTTCGGGTTTATTTGTTTAACGGTAGGGTTTAGGAAAAATGAAAGCTTTTAACTACTTCGCACGTCGCCGCCGCTCTGACTAATGTATTATTGACGTTTCTGATTATGAAATTATCGTTAATACCACGGAATTTGGCAATAAAAATCCACATTAAATTGCACTTTTAATACAAAATAATATACAAAAGTGAGTTTTATATTTAAGTTTACCTCTTACCTCTCTACCCTTAAGGGTGCGTCCACATCTAGAGAACACTCCGCGAATGCGCAGCTTGCGAGTCGCTCGCGTGCTGTTGTTTGTGGATCACACAAAGA